TGGATAGACTTAACCTCTTGCAAATTACACTATGGAATGTCACTTTGCTTGTTTTACTGAATGTTACCAGCCTCTATTGTTAAACTTGTTAAACTATTACCCCACCTATGTCCTTTTTCTGTAACTTCCTGGTCTGGAGAATAAATGTAGGGCGAGAACACCAGTTCTTGGTTAATTTCCCAAATGGAAGGAATGCCTCTCTCTTGAGGGTTCCAGGAGATTAACTCCTTTTTGGGGCCTCTCACTGCTCAGAAGAGATGGACTTTGAATAATCTTTGGCAGCTCTGTCACCCAGGGGAAAAGGGGTGACAAATCCTTGGGTAGCAAAGCAACACCAAAACCCCAAATTCTGAGGCAAATGCAGCCAGGCAGAAAACAACCTATCTGAGTTTGAACTCATGACACTCAGGACCTTGCCTCTCCACATCCCCTGACTCACACACACTAGACATGTACTAAGCTGATTTCCAGGCATCTGTCTGTCTTCCTGGCATATGCTCATTGGTGAGGCAATGGGAATGCTGGTCATCCCTACTGTTCTCTCAAAAGGAAGAGTATGGGACAGAGACATGAAAATGATGACAGAGAATACAGTAGTTATGGGAGACAAAGACCAGAGAGCCAGCATATAGATAATCAGTATTGATATGATAGAAGAAAAAAGATTCTGAACTGAAAAAAAGATCCGTGTATACAAATTGTAAGGACTTACTGTATTACAGGGTGGGGGAAGTCCATAAAAAGATACAACCAAACAATTATAAGCTTCCTGGCAACATTTCTGAAATACAGGAATAAGGGAAAAATCCACAAGCATCTAGAAAAAAGATGTTGGTTACCAACAAAGGAACAAAAAAAAGGCTATCTCAGATTTCTCTATTAATAACCACAGAATGCCATAAGACAATGCTATAAGAGGTTTACAAAAAAACAAAACAAAAAACACTAAAATAAAGTGACCCAAAACAGGTAAAAATAAAAGGAAGATCCAAAGTACACGAGGCAAATATAAACAAAAAGTAAGCAGAGGTCATATTATTATTATCAAAGTAAAAGTCAGGTAAAACAGTATTCTCTTGGACAAAGAGATGTATTTTATATGGATTAAAGGTAAAATCCAGACATTTATATGGAATAACAAAAGACCACGCATAGCCAAAGCAATGCTGAGCAAAAAAAAAAAAAAAGAAAGCTGGAGACATAACACTACCTGACTTTAAACTATACTACAAAGCTATAATGACCAAAACAGCATGGTAC